GCCATAGTTGCTCAACCCATTCACCGGAGGCTTGAAAACTATGTCGAAGAAGTTACCGGCGAAAAGATGGCTACATCAGAGTGAGATGGAAGTTGAATTGTTTCTCTGTTTAGGATCCTAAACATCAATCCTTAATTTTCTTATGCTTGTTCATTTATTATTGAAAAGAAAAGAAAGAAATTCAAAGACGAGATTCAGGGCAACAAGTCTCTACAAATTCAATTAAAAAAAATAACTTTAATGTAAAATAATAGAAGAGAATGATTAATAACTTTAACTTTAAAAGGCTAAATTCATACTTTGTGCATCGCGACTTCAATCATTGAATCAATCTCGAACTTTTTTTTTATAAATTAGGACTTGTGGCTTCTCACTGATTTCCTTGGTTGCTTAACTTTAACTCAAAAAATTTCTTTCTCAAATAATTATTATTCCATTGAACATGAATGAATAAAATTTTGAAGAGAAATCAAGAGAGAAACTTAGAAACAAATAGGAGGACACGACTACTTGCAGAGTCTGTGAGAGAGGGTTCGAATGAACCCATTTAATTTCGTTCTTGGCTGTGGCGCAGAAGCAGCATTGTTTGCAACCTTTTTTTCCTTTAGTACTTCTGGTTTCTTTGTTTAGGATCTCACTCTGATGTAGCCATCTTTTCGCCGGCAACTTCTTCGACATAGTCTTCAAGCCTCTGGTGAATGGGTTGAGTAGCAATGGCTTTGGGAGGATGGAAGGAGAATTTGCAGGAAAGGGTTTTAGAATAGAGGGCTTTCAAATGCAGAGAAACAGGGGCAAATCAAAGAAGAAAAGGGGATGAGGTTATTGGTGTGAGTATGAAGAATAGAAAGAAGGAATTCACGTTAAGGGTTTTGTGAAAATCTGGAAACTGGAATCAGGGAAACATTGAAGATGAGCAAAATTGGGATTTATGCTTTTAGCTTGAAACGACGCCGTTTAATAAATCATTCCGACAAAAAATTAGGAGGACCGGCTGAGATCCAGTTTCCCGAAAATTTAATACCTGTTCTTATATCAGAGCCAACCAATTATACGAAAGTAACAAAGCAAACAATAAAAATGAGCCAAAACAGTCGAACCACAACAGAAAGTAAGCCAGTAGACACCACTAGACACCATATCAAAACCAAACCACTAATCAAATATCCACAAAAGAAAATGATTAACATGGAAAAAACGCAAACATTTGTTCAAGTTGATAAAAATTTTGTGCTCGTGCATGTTCCTTTTCGCTGGTGATTAAGAGAATCGGAACATAAATAAAACAACGTCATAAAAGATTTCAGTAATCATAAAATCAAGAGAAACAGCAGTGATCACTTATGAAATTTAAAGTTGATAAAATGGTTTGAGGGTTTTTCACATTTGAGAGAACAGGATGAAGGAGATTAATTAAGAGTGAAATACAGAGAGAGAGTAAGCACCAGAGGGTGAGATTAAGAGGTAATGAAAAGAACAAGAATGGGAGACGAAATAGAATGAGAAAAAAAATGGAAGATTAAAGATTGGATTTGTGAGTTGATTTGGCAGGGGAGAAAGGTTTTTTGATCTATGCCGGATGCGGCATATCTGAGGGAGGAAATGAAAATTTTTGAGAGAATTATTAGAGAAAGAGAAGGGTTAGGGTTAGGTTAATCAGAGAGATTATGGCTTATATATATTAATATATGGAAAAAATGCATCCTAGTCTCTACTCTCAAGTAAAATTAGAGTATTAACCTTAAATTATATTGTTTTATTTAATTAAAATTAAATTTAAAATTTAAAAATTTATTTTATTAAATATTGATATTTAAATTTAAAAATTAATTAAAATTTTAAATTTTGAATTGAGATTTCAGTTTTTAAATATAAGTTGAGATTTTAATTTTTTTTTTTTAAGTCAAGACTAATACATACTAATATTTTATTATATATATAGATATATTTTATTTTTTATTCAGTTTTTTAAGGTTATTATTCGGTTGCTCGGTTCTAGCATAATTGTTTTTTATCAGCAAAATCAAATGGAAAATATATTACTTAGGAGTATAAAGATTACTCCAAAACACAATAACACCTTCAAACAAATGTTCAAATATAATTGCTTGACAAGCACATAAGATATTACGCTTTAGCACATGAAATTGCAAAAAATTGAGTAAAATAGATTCATCCCATGCCTCATTTAGCATCTCGTAATTTTTCAAATTCTTGTGATGTGGAACAATGACTTCCTTGCATTCCATAGGCCTTGGTATCCATTCTTGATAGAAACACACACAACCTATCTCCTTATTTTTAAGCCATAAAAATGATTTATTCTGTACACTACAAGCAAATGTACCTATACTGACGGAAGTTTTCCGTCAGTATACACCCTTTTTCCGTCAGTATAAACCCCCTGGGTCTATTTCGACGGAAGAACTTTCAGTTGGTGCAAACCTCGTCAGTATAGGGTCTATACCAACGACAAATCCGTATATATAGACCTTGGGTTCTATTCTGATGGAAAACTTGTCCGTTGGTATAGACCCTGAGAAACTTTAAGAGATTTTGCCGTGGGTATAGACCCTGACCTATACAGATGGATAATTCCGTTGGTATAGATCCCTTTTTTCTTTTTCTTTTTTTTAATTCACTTTTATTTTATAATT